CTCCCATGTACGCTGCACAAGCCTTTGAAATAGGGACGATTATCTCCTTTGATGCCTTACTGTCGTTAGTCAACTAGCTACCCTAGAACGAAAAGTAGTCAACTTTAGCTAATTCCTCACCATCTAGTTTCACAATGGAGCTCGGCGACGCCCAATCTTGCAGCATCATTTCACACTTTGAAGGTGAAAAGTGCATCCTAGACTGTCAAGTGCGTTTGTGCATCCTCCATACAGTGGAACAGGCAAACAATATCGTCAACGTACTCTAAAGCGTAGGGCTTTTCTCCAGCTGCCCATTCAATACCTACGTTTTTGGGACCAATTCTTTAACATTTCGCCGACGACGAAATTCAATAGGAATGACGAAACACTCCTGACGAACGCTGCTGCAAGTATTGAAAGAATTACTCAGCTGTCCGTAGACGCTTGCACTACCAGAATTACGCGAATAGTTTACCAGCTATGCGCATTCGACCGCACACTAAATGCGCCATCTACGACTCATGGCTAAATCGTTATACGACATCCAAGGTAATCAAAAGACACCATTTCAAAACCAAGCTGCAAGGCTTTAAGTGCTGGGACTCTAAACGTCTCAGAATATAATTTACGTGCATCAAATATTGCATCATCCTAAACACCGACAAATGACTACCAGCGAAGAAGAGATTTAAATCTGTTGTAGCGCAATAATCGATCACTGATCCGATTATTCACCTGAATATTGAGTTTTAGTTCTCTTTCTTTGGTGGGAAAACACCTCTGCAACACCTGCAACCCTCTTTCACCCCAGGTTATTCGTACTCTTATCATTGATTCGATCAGGTTTCTAAAACACTTAATTGTTTGATAAAAATGCTCGGGAGAGCAGAGTTGTATGCTACCGAGTAATCCCAGGTCGCGGATAGGGGAACGGCCGTCAACTAGCGGCTAACCGTGAATAAAGTGGGTTTCGGCCCTCCGAATAAGCGGTCGCGGACGATCAGCGGCAGCACTTAGGGGATGTGATGGGTTTACTTCTTGGCAAGGGCCTTCCGTACAAAACACCACAAATATTTGTAGACAGCGCTGTAAAGCGGCGAGTG